ATCGTAATGTTTATGGACATCTTCATGGCTTCTTGTATAAATATTGGAAGTGTAAAAATAATAGTATTTGTTCAGCACGCTTAATCACTATAAGAACAGGACGAAATGTGATATTGATTGTGTCAAATAGATACGCACGTAATATTATACACACTGCCTCATTATTTATTTTGGACTTTTTTCTTGGACACTTTGGTCTGCATATTTTGGTTTAGCCTTTTTATCGTGTAATATCTTCTACGTGACAAAGATAACTTTTATCGAATAAATAAAGAGACAAAACTAAAATACTATTTCAGGATTCAATTATAGATTATTGCATAATAACATAGCAATATGTTTCAAAAATATTTGTAGAATTCGATGGATTTCTGAGTTCATTGATTTTATACTAATCTAATTTGATTGTGATAATCAGAATTGGTTTTTGGAAAATAAAACTATCTTATGAGTTTACCTTCATTCACAAGGATAAATTTTAATTTATTTGCATTTATTTATTTATTTATTTAAGTACCTACAAAAGGATTTATCCCGTTAACTGTTTGTATTGAAATTACTGTGACAATTGATTAAAGTAGAATGTAATATATGTCATGCAATAATTATTAAAGCTATAGATCAATTTTTTTCTGTGTTCATTCACAAATATATTGGAATTCTTCGATTTTGTTTAAAAGGCATGTTTTATACATGTTGTATATTGGACATGTAGATGTGTTAGTTATGAAGGCTAACTTATGCGATACTTGACACTCTTACGGTCGGTAACAAGTCTCTAAGAACAAGACTAACGAGCATCTCATATTTTTACGTCTTATTCTCTAGCTTTAACACACAAACTCAATAAGTGTCTCCACTTGATGAGTCATATGAAATTTTCAAGAGCTCTACTAACAAAAATGTCTGATAAAATGTACTCTCTGACAGTGGACGGGGAATATAAGTTCCATTGAAGGTAATTTTCAACAAGACAAGTGAATGAAAGCAATGATCATATAAAGTTCATAATACACAGGAGAACCCTTCTGAATAATATATATATATATATATATATATATATATATATATATTTGAGAAAAAACCAACATTTTTCTCTCAAAAAACACAAAAAGATATATTGCTTCTTTTTTAGCAATCATTTATATTCCGTAATGGGTGAAAAAAAATCAATTTACTCAGAGAAAATAATAAATTAAGTCCATATAATGTAAAAGATTCAGTGAGGCACATAAATATCCCATAAAAATCATTAGCTAAAACTTTCATTTATATGAATTTTATTTGACAGAATTTTCATTTTTCCAATTAACATTTGAGTTACACTATAAAATAAGTAAGTTATAAATTTTTCGTTAATAAATATTAAAAATTAAGCCAATGGCAACAGGTTTTTTGAGCGACGCCTTCCAAAATAAATGATTTTGCGGTAGCCACGATATCTAATGACTGCTTCATCAAAAAAGAAAAAAACTAAATATTTTCTAATAGTAGGTGAGTATAGCTCGTGATTGAACGAAAGATTTAAAAAAAATAGAAATTTGAATTTTTGGCAGTTTTTTGTCACAAGACGATTTTGGGACCATTTAGACCATGTAAAATCAGTTGTAATCAACAGAAAAAAAATGATTCGTTCAATGACTAGTCAAGTAATGTGCCAAAATTCAAAAAAATCCGTGCATTAGTTTTTGAGAAATTGTGGCTACCTACTTCAAAAATAAAGTTTTTAGAAAACAGCGTTCAAAGTTGAATGATATATAGGTCAGATTTTCTTTTTTATTTTATGCGGGACTCGTTTGAAAATCTTTACTCTTGGGTTTTTGGGGTCACTGATTACGAATCCGGTGCCAGTTTTTCAAAAATAAAAATGGCTGATCCAATATGGCGGACTAAATAATTAAAAATAACTAGGTGACGGTTGAAACAAAAAGCGTTTTCGCAAAATTCTCACTCTTTCCTATGGTTTTAATCAAATTATCTTAAAACTTTGGAAAAATATTCTTGACATGTTATACTATCAAATAAAAAAAATTAGATTATTTAAAATTTTTGACCCATGTAAACCCTTAAATTGTTAAAAGAATGTTTTTCCTAATCATAGGAAACAATTGTAATTATATTAGTGATTTTTTTTAATAATAATTTTATAATTTGAACTATAATCATAATAGATAGCACGTAAGCTTGCAGCAACCTTGCGGCAAGCTTCAAATGTCCCACTTGACCCAAGCTTACATTGTAAGCTTACCGAAAGATTGCAGTGTAATGTTACTGCAAGATTGCACAATAATATTATCGCAAGATTGCTCAGTAAGCATGCATTAGTGCATTTACCCTATAAATTTTATTATATAAATTTATAGGGTAAATGCACTAATTGCGGCGAGATTCGAGTCAAAACACCTTTGAAATAGAAAATTCGACATTTCTATTGTATAAACTCAATTTAAGACTTATTAAACTTAAAGCTTATGTTATTAAGATATTAAAAAAAAAATTTAACTCTATAAAAATCGATTATTTAAACAAATATGAGAAATTAAAACTAATACCGTAATTTTCTATTGCGGCGAGTTTGTATCAGTTTCGGTGACCAAAATTACGTGTATTTTGAAGATACTTTGCCCGCCGAAATTGAAGCCAATGGAAATCTTAAAAATGTTTCAATTGCGGCGCGGAAAAAAATTTGATCTCAAATAATTAAATTAATAATTGTTTAAATGTGCATCTTTATAAGTATTTGTATCAAAAAAAGATTGAAATAATTTTTTTTAATCATTTGGCAACAGTTATATTAAATATAATAGTAATAATAGTTATTTTTTATGAACGCGCCGTTATTGGTGCACTCGCCGTAATTAGTACACTTACCCTATACTAAAATTATATAAATTAGACGAAACATTAAAAAAAAATTTTTTATGTTCAAAGTAAGGTTATTTGGCAATCTTGCACCAACCTTGCTACAAGCTTACCGTGCAAGCTTACTAAGCAATCTTGCGATAATCTTATTGTGCAATCTTGCAGTAACCTTACACTGCAATCTTTCGGTAACCTTACCATGCAAGTTTAGGTCAGATGGGACATTTAAATCTTGCTGCAAGCTTACGTGCTATCTGAACTACATGGGTCTAAAAAGCCCAAAATCTTATACTTTTTATACAATTTTTTTTCATATAATAAATACATTATTTTATTCGAACGTCCAAAAATCTTAATTTACACTATAAAAAGAACAATTTATAAAATTTTCGTTAAGAAATATTGAAAATTTAGCCCATGGCCAATGAGTGTTTGAGACCTATTACAAAAAGAGTACTTCTGCGGTGGTCAGAATTTCTCCAAAAGTAATGGACAGATCTTTCTGAAATTTTGCACACTTCTTTTAGTGATTGAACGAAGGGTTTTTAAAATATTGAAATTTGAATTTTTGGCAGTGTTTTTTTTGTCAAAAATTACGAATTTTGGGACCATTTGGACTACGTAAAATCGAGTACTATCACACTGAAAAAAAATTTATTTGATTCAATTACTCGATTACTTGACTATTATCAAATAAATATTTATTTGTTTCAAATACAGAAATTATTGGTTCAAATACAATTTATTTAATTCAAATAAAAATTATTTGGTTCAAGTAAATTTTTTTTTTGATAATAGTCAAGTAATCGAGTATATATATGAATCAAATAAAAAAATTTTTTTATTGTAGATTATGAGGCTTTAGAAATATATATTTTGTTCCTACATAGCACATAAACTTGCAGCAATATTCGCTATATTACATCAAATATTCTAATATTGCAGAAACATTTCTGAAATAATGGCATAATATTGAGGTAATGTTGTCAATATTGATGAAATTTTAGGTGCTGTGGGGGTTTCCTTATAGAGTTATAACGAGGGGGAGTTTACTAGTTAAAAACGTGTACACTTGACTACCGGTATTACACCTCATATTATCCTTATTACTAAGTTATTACACGTTATTACAGAGTATTACACATTATTACAGAGATATTACAGATTTTTTTGCGTTATTACAGCACCGTAATAACGCATTATTACACGGTATTACACAAGTATTACACAAGTATTACAGGAAGAGTGTACACTTGACTACCTGAGTAAATTCCCCCTCGAGTTATAATCAATGTTTTACAAAGATTATGTTTAGAAATTTTAGAAATATAATGCAAATAAATAATTTCAAAAGCAAAAAATTTTAGAAACAAATGTTTTATGGAAAAATTCCTCTCCAAAATTGTTTTCGTTAAATGTTTTATTAAAAAAAAATTTAATTTTAAGAAGTCACATGTAATTTGACTTTATTTTATGAAAATTGTTTTACTTGATGTTTGATTTCTGAAAATGATTTCAGGTAATAATTATCTCCTGGCATCAGAACTACGTTATCAGGTAATTTTGTCGATGGAATAGCTCTGAGATTACCAAGTTCTGTTAATGAATTTAGACATGCTAATCCTGTCTTTTGGATCAATCTTGAATCTAGTTCACTCTCAACGGAGATATTTCTTAACGAAATTTGACAAGGACGACTTAGTTTCTTGTTTGTATGTAGGTCATTATAATTTTTGTATTTTTATCTAATTTAAGAATAATTTATACTTTAAAAATAACTCACTAGATTACTAAAAATATTCTATAAATTGTTTTAAAATTTTTGTAAAAGAAAAAATGATAAAATCCGCTGCCAAGTTAAAGTATTTATATCATGAACACTTTGCCTCCTCATTAAGATTTTTCGTGATCAATTTATTGTAACTTAATTAGTATTATAATAATTTTAAAAAGATGTAAAGTTGTATTTTTTAGGCGTTTGCATAGATAGATTCTTAGTATCAATAACTTCGTAATATTTTATAATAAAAGGTTCAATAATAGGTCAATTGATTCGTTTTTAAATATTCTTCATTGTTCATAATAATTTTAAAGTTACATAAAGATTTTTTAATAAATAATACAAAAAGGCAGGTTTTTCAAAATTTTTCAATTTCAAAATGTTAGTAACTCTGAATAAAATAACAGTAGGATATTCGCTAATAGGTCAAAATATGCGTCTTGAAAAACTCTACAAAACTAGAGATTAATATCCATTTGGTGTCAATACATTGCAAAAAACGTTTTTTCTAAATTTTAAAAATTTAATAACTTTGGGTGGAATATCAGTATAGATTGTTCACTAATAGCTCAAAAGATGCGTCTTAAAAAACTCTACAAAAATAAAGAAAAATATTACTTAGGTGTTCTAACATTTTTTTAAAGTTATGGGCAAAAATGATTTTTCAAAAATTTTTAAATGCAAAAAAATAATAGTTAATCTTTACTTACTTACTTTCCCTTTGGCTCTTATAGTATTCGAGATATTTATGAAAATGTAGTTTATACACACACACACGGAACGACAATTTTTAACCCTCACGTGCCTGAGTTCATTTTTTGACGTGCGTGCCTGAGCTGAATCCGAGCTGACCCAGCTGCTTAAATTCAATAGAAAACAAGATTTAATAGCAGGATATTATCAATATTTTAATTCTAAATTATAATTGTAATATTTTGCAAATATAATTGCAAAAAATATTTAATCTTTTGACACTCTAGGGTACATAAATAGCCCACAAAAAGTCGCGTCGTGACACTTTTTTCAACAGTGCAAATTTGAGTGTACAGTACAAAAAAAGTAATTAATTTAATTTAAGTATTACTGGGTATTCTTAGGTTTTTGGGGTCGCTGATTATAAATCAGACGTCAGATTTGGAAAATTCAAAATGGCGTATCCAATATTAAATCGTTACTCGGGGGTTTTGGGGATCGCTGATTTCAAATCTGATGTTAATTTTTCAAAATTCAAAATGGCGGATCCAATGTAGCGGACGAATTTTTAAATAATCGTTCGGATCCCCTTGAAAATCGTTACTCGGGGGTTTTGGGGTCGCTGATTTCGAATCTGCTGTTCAAAATTGCTTGCTTCAAATCTGCTTCAAAATTAAGAATGTCGGATCTAATATGCCGGACAGGAAAATTAAAAATCAATACAATTTATTAATATCAGATTCGTAATCAGCGACCTTGAAAACCCCTGAATAACGAGTTTCTAACAAATCCATCAAAATTTTAAAACAATATATCCGCCATACTGAATTTTGAAAAAGTAACATCAGATTTGTAATCAGCGACCCGAAAAACCCCCGAGTAATGATTTTCAAGCGATACTGAATGATTTTTTTAAAATTCTTCCGTCATATTGGATCGGCCATTTTCAATTTTTAAAAATGGACACCGGATTCGTAATCAGCGACACAGAAAACCCCAAAGTAACTATTTTCAGATGAATACGTTAAGTTTTTTCAAAAGTCGTGGGCCATATTGGATCCGTCATTTTGAATTTTGAAAAACGGACACCGGATTCATAATCAGCGACCCCGAATACCTCCGAGTAACGATTTTCAAGCGAATATGTTAAATTTTTAAAAATTTGACCGCCATATTGAATTTTTTAAAATCTGACTTCAAAATAATTGTGAAAAATTTAGAACTTTTTACGAGAATCTTTTGTCCGAACCGTTTTTATAATATTTTTGGGTGAAGCAAAAATAAACATGCGACACTTCCCGTGCAGAAAATTTGACCGGGCCCTGGTCGGGCTCAAACCAGGCACGACCGGGGCCAGATCTGGCAACCTGATATGGGCCCGATCGAAATGAAACAGGGAACCCGACCGGGGCCATGCCAATTTGCCCGATCTGGAATCTTGGTCGGGATCCGACCAGGGCCATAGTAATTTGCCCGATCTTATAGTAATTTTAATTTTATTTTATCTCTAATTATTAGTAACTTTTACTAACAATTAGTAAAATTTAAGAGAAATTCACTTTTTGTTTTAGAATTAGTTAAATTTTACTAATTGTTAGTAAAAGTTATTAATAATTAGTAAAAAATTTCTAATTCATAAGCAAAAAGTGAGTCACTAATTCAAATTAGAAAACATTTTTACTAATTCAGATTTAGAGAGTAAAAAATGTCATAAAATGCTATAAATGTATTTTTACTAGTTTTTTAAAATTTTTATATATGGCAACCAGGCCTGGTACTGATCGGGCCTATAGAAATTTATTAACCCAGGGCCAGAACAGGAAATCGGATCGGGGCCAGGTCGGTAATCGAGATGAAAAGTGGCAGTTTCTGCACGAGTTACCTTGATGTAACAAATACCACGAATACCAGAACTACAATATAATGTATTACACCAAGTTGTACATAAAAAATGTTTACATATTGTTATAAAAGGATATATTATATGTTCATTATCTCTTAATGGATAACAATTTTATAATAATATTTTCTTTAATTGAAGCACCATCCGACACGAATTTTGACCCACGAAAAAAATCCAACATTTTCGGAAACTAGGACCCAAAAAAAATACCCGTGTCTGGCCGTTTTGCTAGATCAAGTCTTTTGTGGTTTCTAGGGGTGAAAACAACTCCTAAATAAAAAGTGACAAGATATCTTTTTAAAATTATTAATATTTTATAAAACTTGGTGTCTGGGGGTTTTCAGGATCGCTGATTATTAATCTAATGTCAGATTTTCAAAATTCAAAATGGCAGATCCAATATGGCGGTCAAAATTTTAAGAACTTATAAATTTTTTATAAAATTTGGTATCTAGGGATTTTTGGGGTCACTGATTTCGAATCAGATGTTAAATTTTCAAAATTCAAAATGGCGGATATAAAATAAAAAATTAATAACTTCTTAAAATGTTGACCGCCATATTGGATCCACCATTTTGAATTTTGAAAATCTTACATCAGATTAATAATCAGTGATCCCGAAAACCCCCAGATACCAAGTTTTATAAAAAATTAATAATTTTTAAAAGATATCTTGTCACTTTTCATTTAGGGGTAGTTTTCGCCCCTAAAAACCACAAACGACTTGATCTAGCAAAACGGCCAGAGACGGGTAATTTTTTTTGGTCCTAGTTTCCGAAAATTTTGGATTTTTTTGTGGGTCAAAAAAGGTTGAATTTTGTCGGACGGTGAAGTACATGGAAAGAAAAGTTGTCTGGGTCCGTGGGACCCAGCTCAGGCAACTACGTACATATAAGAGCTATAAAATAATGTATTAAAAAGAGTTTTACATAAAAAAATTCTCTTTCTTTTTTTAAATGTACGTTATATAGCCACGGTACGCCAGAAGGAGGTTTAAATAAAAATGAATTGGCACTTAAAAATTCTTTTTCATTATGGTTCTAAGATGAATAAAAAACTTTTCTCAGTAGGTTTTAAAATCAGCTTACGTGCCCAATTTAAAACAAAAATTGAGTTTTAAATATTTAAAAATAGTATTTTATGAGGAACCAGAATTTATTTAATGTATATTATATGCGTATAGATAATAGATGTTTTAGATTTGGGTTCATATAAATTTATTAACAATGAAGTTATTTTCTTGTTTCGTTTTTATATTTATGCATTAAGAGTGTCGAACGGTATCTGAAATTCTTTGGCAAGAAGGAGAGCTTTAATTATCGCTCTGAACGTGAAATAGTTTTGATTTTAAAATACTTTTTTCTCGAAACACGAACACTTTTAACAAAATCAGCCAAAATCCTCATCTTATAAATTTCCTGAATCCAAAAGACTGTACGAATCCATAGAAAAACATGGTTGCAAAACAAAAAGTAGAAAAGTAATCTAATAACAGTTGCGACTTTGTGCGCCCTGCATGCTGCTGCCATCTGACGGCGGCAGGAGGTAATGTACCTGTCATTATATTACGTTTCGTTTTGCAATCGTGTTTTTGTATGGATTCGCATAATCTTTAGGATTTAGGAAATTTATATAAGACAAGGATCTCTAGCTGCTTTTGTAAAAAGTGTCCGTCTTTCGAGAAGAAAGTATTTTAAAATCAATGTTTATCATTTTCACGTTTAGTGCCGTTTTTATAGAGCGATAATTAAAGGTCTCTTCTTGCCAAAAAATTTCAGAGACCATTCGACTCTCTTAAATAAATTTTGTCACTCTTAAAATCGTTCTTTTAACATTATAATTTAATTTTTTAAAATCGGACACAAACACTACAGCAATATAATTATTTATATGTAAAATTGAAAATAAGTAATTATTTTATCATTTATTACAGTATTTATTAGACTAAATAAATTCTGATTCCCCATAAAACACTGTTTTTATATAAAAACTCAATTTTATTTAAATCGGGCACGTAAACTGATTTTAAAAACTATTGAGAAATGTTTGTTATTCATCTAAGAACCATAATCAAAAAGAATTTTTAAGTGCCAATTCATTTTTATTTAAACCACCTTCTGGCGCAGCGTGTAGCATCAGCTTATCCAATTTGAAAAAATATTTTCTTAAATGGAAGTGGATGAAAAAGCAAATTGTCTAGATTCGAGGGTCCCAGCTCAAGCACGCAAGAGTTAAAAATGTGATTTTTGGATTCCTGAGGTCGAAAAACATAAACATACATAAAAAAATCGAGTTTGAAAAATTGTTGTATTACAATGCATCCTTCATGAGAAAACAAAATAGATTAAATATTAACAAAAAAGTTTATACTATATATGGCCAATACAAATTGTTTTTACCTAAAATTATCTTCATCAAAAAAAAATTTCTTTAACTTGTTTTTGCGTATTTAATTTTTCTAGGAAACTTAAAAATCTTCTATGAAAACGATATGTGTAAGAAAACATGTGATAATTTTTGTGTCTATTTCTGACGTTTATAACAACTGTTTGATTATTGACGATTCTTGTTATTATACCTTTCTGAATAATATACGTTTGTAATATAAAGATATGCAAATTATTAATTGTTTAGATGGTTTACGCAGGTTTTCAGATGTTAATAATATTCATATCAAAAGTAATAACTAACTACTGTATAACTTCTTTATCTGGTTTTTGAATTTTTGAACGAAAAAGATAAAACAAGTAATAATAAATAACAACAGCCAAAAAAAGAATTTGATCAATTATTATTAAAATTTATTTATAATTTATTGAAATGAAGTAAACAAAAAAACCCGGTTTTATAAAAAATTACTGAAATATTAAATTAATGTATAAATTGAAATTTTTCTCTAAATTTTGTTGAAAATTAATTTAAGAACTTAACTAAATGTTAATGTTTGTTGAATTACAAAATAAATATGAATTTATTACTTTTCACTAAAAAATATAATTTAATTTTTAATTTTTTTTATCCAAGAAAAAATATATTTGGCACAGAGATAAATTTTTTTTTTATTTAATTTAAATACATTTTATTTGACTCTAATAAATAATTTATCTAGATGTATTTATTAATAAAATGTATACACGGAGAAAATTTGTTCCGAGAGTTTTACTGAACTTAGTTCGGTAAAATTGGGATATAACAGCAAAACGGTAATTTTTCACGAATTAGTACAGTAAAATGAATTTCATAAAACTATAATGTAAAAGGCA